GTCCGCTGGATATCGCCGCATTGGGGCCATGTTGAAGAAGTCACGGAACACTGGCGGGAGCAGGTGCGTCTCTGCTGCTCCGTGATTGCTAGCCAGGCTGATTACTTGGGCCCCGAAATACCGGATCATATACCGAGGATCATCGATTCGTACCTGTCGTTGTTATCGTTGCCTCCGAAACCCCGAAAGCGACTCTCGCTCCTCTTCCCATCGGCCTACCCTTTCCCCTCGAGGCCTGTCTCTGCTAACCTCACATTCGACGAGAGCCTGACAGAACTGTCCGCCATTCTCTCAGCCGTATCCAATTCTACCGTCGGGATGCAGCTTGAGTTGGCGGCTGAGGCCGATCAGGGTATCATCTTGGAGAACTTGCTGCGCGTGCATATGAGCATACTCTCAGGCGAAGCTTTCCCCGCCGGCTGGCTCAGTCTGCACATCTTCCATCACAAGTCAACTATGCGCACTCTGCAGTATGTGGCCACCCTCATGCTGGAATCGTTCCTACCAGACCCTGATGAGGCTGAGACTTTCAATATGGAGCTGTGGAAACTTTTCTTCACAACACTCCTCAAGTTGGTGGGTAGCACGTCTCTGTCGTTGGAAACGTTCCCTGAACAGAAGAGAAGGGCTGTTTGGAAAATTGCCGGTGATGTGAGAGAGCATGGTGCCGAGCTTCTGCGAACAACATGGGAAGCCATTGGCTGGGAAACCACTACTGAAGAGCAAAACCGCTACGGCCTCTCCAAGATTGGAGGATACCAAGTGCAATACGTCCCCGCGTTGGTTGGACCGATCGTCGAGTTGTGCTTGAGCGTCCACGAGGGTTTGCGACGAATGGCAGTTGAAGTTTTGCAGACAATGATTGTTAGCGAATGGACATTGAGCGAAGACTTGACCGTCATTCAAACGGAGATGATTGACAGCTTGGATCAGTTCTTCAAGTCCAAACCTCTGACAGAGAGTATTCTGCAGAAGCTCTTTATTGGCGAGATGATGGAGCGATTTCAGCCGCTCTCCGAAATTCCAGATGAGCCACTGTACGTCGCAGTTCGAGAACTTGTAGGCACTTTGGACGAGTTCCTCGATTTGCTGGTTGCTGTTCACGGAGGAGATGATAGTGGAGAGGCAACAAGCATCATCAATCGTTTAAGACTAATGGAGTTTCTTCGTGATATGCAAAAGGAGGAAATTTTTGTTCGCTACGTGCACCAGCTTGCGACTCTGCAGGCGGAGAGCCGAAACCACGCCGAAGCCGGTCTTGCATTGCGCCTTCATGCGGATCTTTATGAATGGGATCCAACTAGACAAGTGAAAGCCCTGGCAGAGCCAGAGTTCCCAGCGCAGACACAGTTTGAACGCAAGGAGAAGATCTATTTCGATATGATTAAGCACTTTGAAGAGGGCGAGTCATGGAGCAATGCCCTGACTGCATACAAGGAGCTACAGACACAATACGAGACTAATATCTTTGACTTTGCGAAACTCGCTAGGACAGAGCGCGCTATCGCCACCATCTACGAGACCATTTCCAAGAGCGAAAAACTGATCCCGAGACATTTCAAAGTTGTGTACAAGGGGTTGGGTTTCCCATCTGGTATTCGGGATAAGGAGTTTATTTATGAAGGAGCTCCAACGGAGCGTGCGGCGGCCTTTGCCGATCGAATGCAGGAACAATACCCTTCAGCTCAGATTGTGACATCAGGGCTCATTGACGAGGTTGAAGGACAGTTCTTGATCGTATCTTCAGTAACCCCACACCGGGACATGTCTCATCAAGTATTTCAAAGAGCACGTGTTCCCCAAGTCATTCGTGACTTCATAGTGTCCTCTCACCCCCAGAGCTTCTCCTTTACAACCAAGCGTAGCACGTCTGGTGCGGTAGAGAACCACTATGCAGAGAAGACCGTTTTCGTCACTGCCGAGCCTTTCCCAACTATTCTGCGTCGCAGCGAGATCATTGAGACTCATGAGATTAGACTCGATGCTCACGAAACAGCTTTAGAGCGCATCGTGCGGAAGACGCAGGAGATGACGGCTCTTGAGCGCCGACTATCAGATGGAGAGGAGGAAGTGGGACAACTTCTACTTGATGCGATTTCTATTTCCGTAAACCCGTCATCTGAGCAAAGTGTAATGTGTTATCGCGGGCTGCTGTCCGAACCTGAGGCGGACGAGGATGAGGACGAGGACGATGAGCAGGAGCTGGAGCCACATGATCTTGCAATCAAGATGGCGCTCGTTGACCATGCCATCATGATCAGGAGAGTCTTGGCCCTATTTGCGAGAAGCAACAACCCAATGCTGTCTCAGAAACAAGAAGAGCTCCAACGATGTAAGTCAACCTTTGATTCGGCATAAACTGGTTACCATCTAACATGTAGCCAGTTTTCGAAGTAACTTATGAGCCAGAGATTGCATTGTTTGCTCCTCCTCCTCCAACGCCTCGTGAAACAGTTTCGACTCCGTCGACAACTTTTCGAGGCACCTTTCCGCCAGTCGATCAAGGCCCTTCACAGTGGGCACATATTGCCACACCCTTGAACGGCACCAAAGCCGAGGAGACGTCCATTGTGCGCCAGGTATCACTTCGACGGCGCAGTGCCAGACTAAGCTTCTTGCCTGGGCGGCGACAGCAACAGCAACAACCGTCGTCACCGCAGCAAGAGAGTGACCAAGCTCCCGAAATGGAAACGGCTCCCGGAAGCCCAGAGTCCAAGATGTCGCACAGTAGAAGCCGAAGTTTTAGTAAGGGCAGTCGACGACAGAGCATTTTTAAGTCACCTTCTGTGGATGAGAGCTTGCAAGATGCCGTGAATGGAAGTGGCCGACGAGGCAGCTCAGCCAGCAAGAGCAGCGTGGACAGAAAGAGCAGCATTGACGAGTTTATAATGGAAGCAGAATATCCCGTGGTCAAAAGATCCGGAAGCATGAGGAAGAGATTGAGCCTCTTCAAGATGGGAATCAGAAGCAACAAGCCGGGAGGGACGATGAGGAGCGTCGACGAGGAGTAAGAGAGCCGCCTGGCGGGCGCTATTTGCATTGGAGAAGAGGGAAAGAAAAGAAAGAAAAGGTGCCGCAAAGAACGGTGCCAGAAATGTGAACAATGTATAACATAATATTAGACACAACAGGCAGGAGGACATCGTATACAAAGGAGGAATTGGATGCGAAGCGGGGGAGATGATACCACTGACTACCTTTCTATCGTTTATTTTACTTTTCTTTGTGCAGGCGGAATATTTTCCATGCTAGGTGTTCTGGATACCACCGTATGGCAATGCATATAATTCTGACAGAATGATGGGGGATTTCCATTTCCAAGCTTCAAAATTCTAATGGCTGTTTATTTCAAACATGGTCAAGATGATATGCACATTTACAAGCGGAAAAGCAAGACAGAACAAAGTACACAGCTTCCTCTGCCATGTTGGCACCTACGCGTTTTGCAATCATTCTGCAAAGTAGGTTAGATGTCATGTACGATGTTCCATACATGCCATCCTAAAAGACGCAAGTCGTCGACGCAGATAAACACCCCTCCATCCGACGACGAAATCCATCCTGTCACTGCCCCATTGCACACCTTGTCGTTCGAGGTCCCATGTTCTCGGGGATATGACCAACCACTTCCGGCTTGAACTACCCATGGACGTTGTTGCCGCACCTACCGACGGGCATCGCGCATGCATCGACGGCCAGATTTCTATGTTCATCCTGCGAGCGCGGCCCTGGCGGAGCGGGGATCCATCAGCGGTCTTGGTTTCAGGAAACAGCATCTCCCATTGATCTAATTGACGAAAACAAAGGACTTAATCACGTTCCGTCTTTACTTCCCATGCAGACTTTGGTCGTCGTACCCCCCCGCGCGCTCTGCAATGCGGCTCTTCACCCCCGGCAGGCCAGTGTTCGCCGGGGTGAATTTACGGAGCCGGCGAATACGGGGCCGGAGCTCGTGGGACCCGTATCCCAATTAGGCAAGTACATCTGGAGGGCTCCAAGTTCACTGCCGTCAGCTTCATCGCGAGGACGCATCTACGCTATGTTTTTTTTTTTTGCCCGAATCGGTATGAGGATCCAGTGTGCGACAAAAAGCGGTGTTACATAACATGCTGCCTGGAACAGCATGGTGAAGGGGCAAAGAGCAGGTAGGTGAATATTCCGTGGCTGCCTTGGAAATGCAACAAGTCAAGGCCATGTTGCCCAACTTGGACCGTTGCACATTTCACTACACGAAATGCAGATTTTCAGCTGGCAGAATTCGTCCCGGTGCTTTGTTTCCCCTGTGTTTCGGACAAGGCTTGTCGTGCATGTGAAGCCTCAGACTGGCCATTTACCCTAGACACAGGGGTGTACATCACAATTCGGTGCTCTCACGAATTCTGCTGGCCTATACTCCGTAAGGGAACAGAGACTGATAGTTCCGGCCTTTCTTTCTTTCTTTCTTTTTTTAAATATACATCGGAGAATAGTGGACAAGTTGTCGGGCTGGGCAATGCACCGATTAATGTACGTCTTACAAGGTATTGTGGATGATACTTTTGAGACTCATGTCTTGATATCAGGCGCGAGGTGTACAGGCCAGTTTTGTTATGATGAAAGCAGATCACGAAGTTAACATGGCGAACGATAATAGCTTACATCGTCTGGATTGTTAGGATTACCAGAAACCGCAAATGGATGATTGGGGACAAAGGCATAGAAATACAAAAGTGAGAGTTGTGGGCACTGGTGGATATTAATGTGTATATATATTATGTGTATTTGACTTTTGTGTACTAAAATGTATCCGACGCAAAGCACAGCAGGACATGGGACAAGGTTGTGTAAAATGTTAGGTAAAAATTAAAACATAGGGACGGTAGTTAGAATTATATTTACACGCAAGTGAAAGTCGACGAGAGTTGCCATGAAATTGTACCATCTGAAACCCTCACATCCGTGTAGAGCCACACGAGGACTCCTGTTTCTCAAGTTTCATAAGACAGAGTTTTGCCAACTCCTTACTCGTCGCGCTTTTCGAGACGGTACTCGAGAGCACGCTTGCGGCTGGCATTGCTTTGGGTGAAAGCAGCAGCGCCACCGAAAGGTCCGGCAAGAGCCTGGTTGCGAACACGAACAATGCACACGTTCTTCTGGCCTCCGACCGTACCCGAGCAGGCGCATCCCTGGGGAACCTGGACCTGCATAGCATAGTCGGTGTTGGTAGCGATGGACAGGCCGGAGACACCGGCTCCTGGGACATCACGGACGACTCTGGCGCTCTGGAAGGCCTTGGGGTCCTTGCCACCAGAGCTGCAGTCAACGGCGGCAGTCATGGGGCCAGCGCCATCCTGGTTGATCTAGACGGAGAGCATCGTGTTAGTTCAGATGGAGGTCAAATGCTTCGCGCAACGGGAAAAGAGTGACAAACCTGTCGGTAAACCAGGTTGACAATGCCATTATCGTCAGCGGTGGGAAGACCAGACTTCTCACCCTGGCCGCGCATATCGGCATTCATGGTCTCGACGGGGTAGGTCTTTGGGGTGCCGCCCATGCCAAGGGTACCGATGATGGGAAGGTTGGCAATGCCTTGAAAGAGGCCGTTATTCTGCCTTCTGTACTCGTCGCGGCGTTCCTTGGGGGTCGAGAGGCCCTGGAGGTTGTCCTCAACGCCAACCGAGTCGGAAGCACCCTTGTTCTTGGGCGGCTCATTGCCCCTGCCCATGAAGTTTTCAACGACGGCATCAGGGTTGACGTTGCCAGAGCCCTGAGTCCAACCGAGAGTAGGACGTTGGCCCGAGTTGATTTCGTTGTCACGGATGATGGCAGTGTCAGCCTGGGCGCCGCAGGCGTTGGCGACACAGTTGCGAGGGGTGCCATCAGCAACTGTTGGAGCCTTTTGTCAGTTCCACCGAAAGCTTTCCGAAAGGTGAAGGAGAAAATAGGGATGCCATCTTACCACTGAGACCAGGCATGATGACACCATTAGCGCCCGTGATGGAACGAATAATACCGTGGCCGGAGACGGTGGTGGCGGCCACGGCAGTGAAGACAATTGAGTAACGCATTTTGGGCTATAAGAACGAGTCAAGACGGGGTATTAAATCGGGCGTGACGAGTCACCAGGACTATTAATAAGAGAAGAACGAACGAAGTAACGAACGGAGAGCTGTGAGGGTTTGATGGGAACACAAAAGGGATTTAAGACGGCGTTGGTAACACGGGGATAGTGTTGTATATATAGCCCTACCCGTCGATATGTCTTGGACGTAGCTGGGGACAATAATAGTACAACATGGTGCTGGTGTAGTTTTGCCTCGGTGAGCTAGCAGTTAGATTGCACGCTCGTGCCCTCTCAGACCAATGCAAATCATTGGCGCCGCAGCGCGGGACGTTGGTAGTCTCGCCGCAGGCCCGAATGTTGGACATTGACAGACAAGCTTTGCGCTTAGACGCCATACTGATCCCTGAGCCCAGAAGAGGTTTACCTGCTGCGAGGTCCCAATCTGCACAAGAACAGGGCACGGGAACCCAAAGCCTGGATACCCTGAGGATGGGAGGTCCGAAAAAGAGGCATCTAACGAGACGCCTGAAACCACCATGATTAGACTCCCACCGGGGACCGGGGGGAGGGTGTTGTCCGTGGCCCTGTTGGGGGTGGTAGTGGTAGCGGTAGCGGCCACAAAAACATCAGGCCAATGACGCACAGGTCTCCGAAAAAGGTTAATGGCCAACACCGTTTGTGGGCGTGTTTCGGTTTGTTTCGTCTTTCGTGTTTCTCGAATCTGGTCGTCGACGTAGCAGCACCATTCATGTGCAACACCTCGCTTCGTCCCGACCGAGATTGATTCACGGCAGACGGGTCTTTCGGACAAGACGGATGGCCGTGAGACCTGGCACGTGATTGTCCCTGGGCCTAGATACCTACTAGGTGGGTAGATATGATGGCATTACAGGTTGCGGATGAGATCTGGGCCGTCGTGGAGGAACGATGTGTTTAGTTACGGCAGTCATGGGCCAGGGCAGGCCCGCAGCCCCGGCCGCTGCGGGATGTGGCGTTTAGAGATGACATGGCCTGGCCTCTGTGCTAAACGCGGATTTCGGAAATTTTTGGAGGTTGCAGAGTGCTGCTGAAGGCTCCAGACGTTGGCATTTGGTAATATCAAGGCCCAAGGGTGATGCAAAGCCGTGGGGGTGGAGGGGCGGTGCGAGGCGGTGCCAGGGCGAAAGGGAGGGGAGAAGCAGAGAAGGCAAGAGGCTGACCTGTCTATGATTATACTGGCAAAGCACGACTCAAGTCTAAGTCGGCCTCCCAGCTGCTCCTTCCCTTCTCTACGACATATCGACTGTCCAATGGCCAACGGTGGAACTCTTGTTCAAATTAATTAACCCAATTGTGTTGTGCTGCGGAGTCTCTACCTTAAGCCTCTAGGGCGCTCTCTGCGTAATGATGTTGTATGTCAACATTGTCTGCATCGCGATGCAGAGAACGACCCGGCATCAATCATCGTCACCGCGTCACAGCGTGCACCTCGGACACATTGACCCCCTTGTGCCTGTGGCGTAGCATCTTGATCGTGCAGGGGTCTTTACATATACTTGGCTTGGACCATCGTGGGCAATCTTGGCCATCTCGGCCCTGCCAGGCACAGGTGGATACAACCTGCATATCTGGACCCCGCTTGACCGATTTGGACGCTGTTCACGGCTGCGGGGCACGTGAGTTTTGACCCTTCTGAAACGAACCGTTCGCCCGCTGTGCCTGAAGTGGACTTGCTACCCCTTGCCGCTCAGCCAACCACGTGATGCCCGTGACTATAAGCTTTCCAACATCACCAAGCGCAAATTACACGGATCGCAGTTGTCAATGGCCTCCTCTTTCAGCCATGTTCAGGCCTCCCTTCAGGCGCCTTCACGCCTTCTTCAAACCTCTGCAGGCCGTGTTCCTGAGCCCCCCTACCGGTTCATGTAACCCTACTCGTTTGGTTACCCCTACCGGTTCGTGATGGCCCTGGTTTCAACATCAGCCGGTTTCTCGCTGCTGACTTGCACCGTCTCGTCTTTTGCTGCTGAACTCGAGGGCTCGGGCCTCTCGCTTACCGGTTTTCAATAGAACGTTCGGGAGTCTATTCGGATCAATCTTGATTAGCCTCGCCTGTTTTCTGCCACTAGAGTGTCTTGGCGTATCGCCTTGATTACAGAGGGCCACGGTGACGCTGTGCCTTGGTCAATGCCATGATGTCGCCCGCAAGTCCGCCGAACCCGCTTCTCAACTTGCAAAGAATATTGAATATTTAATACTTTAACTTGGGACCTCTCCCTCACTTTCCATGTCCCCCTCCTCATCAGCCAACTTCCACTTCCGCTTCTACAACCTTTTCCATTCTTTAATACAACATCAAAACCGGCCTAGCGCTGCCACCGACCTTCGTTGCCTTTATTTAATTACAAACCTTGTGTTTATATATATATACATATTTTCAAAATGAGATTCTCCATCGTTTCCGCCGTCATCGCCTCCGCCGGCCTTGTTGCCGCCGCTCCCGCCAGCGAGCCGGGCAAGCGCGAGACGAACCTCGGCGGTCTTGGCCCCATTGCCGGCCTTGTCGGCGGCAGCGGCTCCGGAACCGCCAACGGTGCTGGCAACGGCATCCAGAGCGGCCTCGCCACCTTGTTCGGTTCTGCTGATGCTGTCCTCAACACCCCTCTCGACTTCGTCAGCAAGCTCGTCTCTGGAGACCCCATTGGTGCCGTCACCAGTGCTGGCAGCGAAGCCATGAAGTTCGCTGGCAGCGTTCCTGGCCAAGTGGCGAAGCCTTTTACCGATGTTGGCTCTGGTGTCGCCAGCGACATGTCCAAGACCACCCAGGCCGCTACCAAGTCCAACTAGGAGACTGCTTTTTAGTATCTCGACTGCTTTACAGTAAGTTCTTCTCTTCATGATTTCCGCAACAGCTAGAGCAGGAACAAGGGGGCTAACGAGAGCAAATTATAGCGTGAAGAGGTTGGGGAAAACGGTGTCATGTCACGCACATCGCAGCTTTAATTTCATGTTATATTTCCTGGCACCGAGTGTGTGGGTCTGTCTGTAATCAAAACGATTTTCTACGATATAATCACAACTTGACGTTGTATAGAACTGTGTTTAAATTTCAAAACTAGACTTGTGACGTCTTGTCTCTTCGTGTTTTTGTAAAGGTCATTTCTCTTCATGCCTGTGACATGGGCCCACCATGTGGCCACATCGGTATTCCCCCTGTCGCCAGGTTCGGACAATTAGCGTGATCGACGTCGTCCCGAAGCAGTTCGCGTACTACTGTACTCCGTACGACTATACCTTGTCCTCGAGTAGATTGTGGGGTCCGTGAAACAGGGTCCTTTGCAAGGATTGTAGCCAGTCGCGCACTCAGCGCAAGCCGGAGGCACACCAAGACCAGTTTACCTGTGGTCAATGCTCGATAGCCGACCCAACTTGCACCTACATACACGCGACTGCATTGTTTCATTTACAGCCTGTTCAAGCTTGTTTATCCGAGTCGTTCTCGGCCTTGTCTGCAAATCGCCTAGGTGACTGTCGTAAATCACACTGTTTCAGGTGGAGAATTCGCTTCATTGACACAGGGTCCTCGAGGCTGTTGTGATGCTCGCGAGCACGAGTTTGTCGCTAACATCCAGCTTAACAGTGTGCCCTCTTGGCTCTCCCTCCCTGTGGCCTTTGACAGTATCCCTCTCGGTGGATTCGTGTACTGTATTCGTTGCCAGCACTACCGTTTGTATTGAAAAATCCGGCAAAGTCTGAGGGTGTAGGGTTTTGTCGACACATAGTTTGGCGTGAATGCGTAAAAAAAGACGATGAAAACAACACAAGACCCCTGACAAGACAAGGGCAAGAACCTGATTCTTATACGATTGCCAGAGGAACTACACCGCTGCGCAAATAACAGAAGAAAAGGGAAAGCAGAGGGAGGAAAGGGGAAAACTTAACCATAATGTCCGCTCTCCCAGGTTTCCTTCGGAACCCGCTGTCAAATCGCTCTCGCTTACCATCATCAGCACAACCGTCATCGTGTCTGTCCAAGCATCTCCGGAACGGGCCGCCAAGAACCTAGATACCCTCGATGGCAGTCTTACCGCAGACGGGAGAAGAAACACTACAAGTTAGCTCCTTGTTCAGCACGTTGCTTGCGCTCCTGCTGCCAGACACGAAGCAATCCACGGGCGAAAGATGGAGACCGTTCTTCGCAGGATATCTCTGAGGCTTATCCAAGCAACGAGTGTAAGACAATGGAGGAGCGTCGAGGACGTTGGTGTATGGGGAGGGACAGAGCCACGGAAAGTGACCTCATTCTGATTGAAAAAAACAAGTAGTGTTCTGCTTCAATGTTTCTCTTTTCTTGAGTTGACGCTGACGGTTAGATGGGCCTGGTGGATTCGTTGCCAATGAGACCGAGAAGAGACTGCAAAAAAAGATCTGTACTGCGACGTTGGAAGTTCTGGAGCAGCTTGAATCTGACGATGGTCTTCGATCACAAGAACGCACTGTTGATTCAAGTCGAGAGCTGACTTGCTAACGGGCGAATGATAGTAGCAGGACCCATTTGACCACAACGTCACCACTAGGGCATAAATGACCCTCATGATGTCCGACTAAAAACGGGCAGTATTTATATGCTTCCTAAAAGTGACCATCTGCCAGACCTATAATACCAAAATGCCGTCGCCATCACGTTCCATCCTAATATACAACCCCCCCAGATCGGTATATACAAAATCCCCGGTTCAGCTCACGCCATGCCACAACCCTTCATACAGCCGTCAACTCCTCCAACCGCCTTTCTAGCTCGGGAACCTGCCGCAATTTGACTTCCAACTCTTCCTTCTCATCCTCCAACCTCAACCGTTTATCAGCATCCAACTTCGTAAACACGTACTTGCCCTGCCCATCAAACTGGAGAATATGTGTGTGATACTTCCACAAGCTCCTTCTGTGACTGACAGTCATGAGCGTGATGCCTAGAGCCTTGGAATTGTCGTACATGATCTTTTCTGTTTCAAGCGTAACGCTGCTCGTGCACTCATCCAGTATGGCGTACTTGGGGCGATGGTAGAAGAGACGAGCCATGGCAACGCGCTGCTGTAGCCCGCCGGACAATACGTCACGCCATTCCGCTTCGGCGTCCCAGCCTTCGGGGTACAGGTCGACGAGGTGCTCGAGTTCAAGAAGCTTCAAAATGGACATGAGATCTGCGTCGGTGACGCCGCGGGCGCGCATTTGGCGCAGGGAATCGGGGTAGATGACTTGTTGGCGTAGAGAGCCGCGCGAGAGGTATGGGCGCTGGGGAAGGTAGAAGATCGCGTGGAAAGGAGGCTTATAGACAGTGCCGCCGTAGACAGGCCAGAGGCCGCCAAGAATACGGAAAAGTGAAGATTTGCCACAGCCGTTGGGGCCGACGACAAGGAGGTGGTCGCCTTGGGAGAGGGAGAACGATAGGGCTTTGACGAGGACGTCGCCGTTTGGTGAGATGATTGGTCTGAGAACATGTTAGTATGCTGGTCTATATAAATGGGCAGCCAGTGGGTGGCAACTTACACATCGATGAACTTGATGTCTTCGCTCTCGTGAACGGTCCCTCGTCCCCGCAGAACAGCCTCGTTATCTTCGGTACCGCTGGATGAGACAAGTCTCTTCTCAAAGTGTCCCAATTGAATATCGTCCATGACATCCAGCAGCGACGCAACGCGCGAGGTATAGCCAGCCAACTCCATAATCTCCCTGTAAGAGAACATGATACGGCCGAAAGCGTCTGAGGCGGACAGCAGCATGCGTCTGTTGGTAACAAACGACTCGGTCCTGTCGCCCATGTTCATCGCAACCTGGCCGGGCAGTTTGACAAAAACGGGAACACTGCAAAGAAGCAGACCCAACGCACCCCAGAAATACTTGATGACAAAGTCCTCCATGAATCCGTGGTAGAATCGCCGCCTCAAAATGTAGTTAACATGTTTGATTAGCGTAAAGTAGCCCTTGTCCAGAGTGTCCTTTTCCGCGACATGACCACCATATAGGGCGACTTCCTCGCTGTAGTCTATCAGACGAGAGTGTTGGTAGCGAAACTCTCCTTCTAGTCTAGCTTCGTCGGCGACGTACTTGCCGAAGGGGGGCGTGAGGACTCTCATCATGTTGGCGGAAAGCTGAACGAGGAGTGACATGAAGACTACTCCCTCGCCGCCAACACTCTTGGAGAGTGACCATGTGTAAATTGTCTGAAGAAATGTTAGCAGTCTCCTTATTTATCCCTTTATCCGCAATATTTGACGTACCATATCCAACAGTGGCTTGGCCAAGTTGCTGTACAGCTCCGCCAGACTGTTAGAGAACTTGGAAACGTCGACGGCAATCAGCTGATCCGGGTTCTTTATTCGGTCATCAAGGGCTGAGATGCCGTAAAACGTCAAGTTGGAGAGATATTTGTCGTGGATATACTGCGTTAATCTGGTCCTGTACTTGAGCGACAGCTCTGCTTGGTGATATGACAACTAACCACGTCAATTAGCACACATCTCTCCACAACATTAACCTGTCAGAACCTACCATTGAGTTCGTGAAAGTAGCCGGCACAGCAATCAACATCCACCAAAGAATCCTGGTCATGAACTCCTTTCCATTGCCCTTGACCAAAGCCTTGACAATGGCACCATCCATCTCAGCCACCCTCAAACTAATCAGCGTTCTCAGCACCAGAAAAAAACTATGGCTAATCAGCATCCTCGTTTCTGTGCTACGCCACCCCGGAACCACAATTATGAGCAGCCGCAGCAACGACCGGAAGAACTGGCGATCCAGTGCTACCTTTTTTTTTGGTGTCTCTTCACCACCGGTCGAAACAGTGGCGCGGCGGGCTTCGCGCTGAGCTGCTTCACGCACCGACGCAGCTTTCTGCTCCGAAATGGCATGGCGCACGCGGTTGACGAGGGCAACGAAGAGAGTGATCCAGATGGCGCGTGAGATGCGAGTTCGGTTGGATAGGTAGAGTCGTGTGAGTTCCGTGATGATGTTGCGAATGGTGTGGTCTCCCGAGAGGGAGAGCTTTGATTGAGACGCCATGGCCGGAGCGGGAACACAACGAATACTGTCGTCTTCGTCAAGATAGCTTGCGTGTGCTTCTTGATGTGTGGAGGAGTGAACGCAAGGCGGTCACCTTTGGCGCATTTGGCATTTGCGATGGCGGCGACGAACGAAGCTTGACGCTCGCAGGAGGAAGCACCCACGCAACCCCCCAGAGCTGAACTAAAGGATTAAACACCTTGCGGACCTGTCTTTGGAGCTGTTCCCCAGAATCAGGGAAATTGAATGCAAAAAGGAAAAGAGGCTCGCAACTCCAGGAATATGTTGTCAAGTTGGAAAGCATGTGGTCGGGCTTGGCGTCCACTACCCCAGCTTTCCCTCGGTCCCAGACTCTAGTCGAGGCAAGATACGGGGAATCTCAGCCACAGAGTACTCCGTACTACGCTTCCAGCTGCACAGCTGGGCATGTGAAAGCACCTACCAGCCACAAGGACAGTTTGCAGCGCCAACGGCGTGACTGTGCACAGCACCAGCCACACTTGTGTTTTTTTTCCTTTTGCTTTGCCTGATGCCCCTCTACCCCGAATCTTGGAATTCCGCCACCAACACCATTATTCATTCGCAGTTCTCCTGACCAAGCCTTGTCCTCCAAAAGAAGACAGAATCTCGACCGCTTTATTCCCCTTTTGTCGGTATTCCGTAACCTGATCACACCCTTATCTTCCACTCTATACCAAGAAATCTGCCCAGCATGTCCGACGACGAAAACCTCTCCATCTATGACGAGATCGAAATCGAAGACATGACCTTTGACGAAGCGCTCC